TGGAATATGCATCAAAAATGCAAAGGAGTGCTGGGGCAAATTAGAGGAAATTGTGGTTGTGAACAGGGAGGAGAGACAGGACACAAATGTGCCCATCCTCAGCATCAGCCAGGGAGAGCCCCGAGGCATCGCATATGCATCGCCTCCTCCAGTGCACAAGGAACAGGGAAAATTTGTTAACACGAATGACACTGGTCAGGTCTCAAAATTGGAAGGTAGAAAGCAAGTTGCAATGCCCTTTCCTAAAAAGAAAGCATGAAACAAACATAGTAATGTTTATTGAATCCAGAATATTATTTCAGGTAAACAAGCCCCAGGAAGTTTTATGATACTGACTATAGACCAAGATAAAATAGCCTGAAATACATCATCATTTGTGAGGGATCTCTTCTTCACTCATTGGACACTTATTTACCGTGCTTCCATCATGTGTTGGGCACTGTTCCAGAGCCTGGAACCAGAGGAAACGGAACGATAGGGAACATTCCTGCACTGAGGGGCTTCGCTGCTAATGAAAGAGCCCAAACGCAATAGAGAACCTGAAGGAGCAGCTGTCGAATTGGCTAAGAGCTTCAATATGAGGAGTTCAGAAAAGTGTGAGTTCCCAGGCAGCGCAGGCGGTCAGTCAAGGAAAGGCCACCCAAGGAAGGTTTCAGAGGCCCAGCAGCTGCAGGAAAATAGTGGAGGAGTGTAAGGCCTCTGGTTCTCCCTCATCGCCCCCCTTCAGCTGGGACCTCTTGAGTCAGGGTCCTAAAGAAAGAGTACACTTCTCTTTGGACGGCCAGTGACGAGCGGTGTGTCGCTACCTGGAGGCACTCAGTAAGTGTTAGGTGCACGCTGACGGGATGATGACACTGCGGGATGACGGATGAAGGGGAGGTGGAAAGCTGCGTGACCGTATTCTCTGAGGCTCATTAACACTGAACGCTACTATCTGTTGAGCATTTTGCTGCATGCTGAGGGCTCCACTGGCATTGCTTCATCGCATGCTCACAACAGCTTTTTGAGAAGTGAAGTCTTAGCACTCTCATTTGACAGAGGAAGTCACTGGTTCATAAGATAAGCAGACAGAAAAAAGGACAAAAATACAGATATATTTTGAGATGCTGGGGAGAGATAGCAAGGGCTCCGGGGCACTCAGGCTGCAACTCAGAGTAGGATTCAGGTTGCGCTCAGGATTGAGGACACCAGCCGTCAGGACTGAGTCGGGAGTAGCTGAGCAGAGAGTATATGAGTGCACAGGTGTGTGCCTGTGTGTGCCCATGTTTGTGGCTGTACGTGTAGGTATATAACTAAGAATGTGTCAAAGGAGCACTGGTATACTTAATCCAGGAAGGAGCTGAGTCAAAAAAGACAGGAAGCAGCCCTGGCCAGCATGGCTCAGTTGGTTGGAGCATCATTCTGTAACCGAAAATTGCGAGTTCAATTCACAGTCAAGGCACATACGTGAGCCGCGGGTTCGCCCCAAGGCAAGGTGTCTATGAAAGGCGAATTAATAGATGTTTTTTTTCCTCATATCAATGTTTCTCTCTTTCTCTAGCTCTCTCTTTAAAAGCAATGAGAAAATGTCCTCAGGTGAGAGAGAGAGAAAGGCGATGAGGGTCAGCAGATGAAGAGAGCTGGGAAGGGGCTGAAGGCCAGGAATGTCTGAAGAGAGGCATCAGGACTCTGAGCCATAAGGACAAAATTTTATGTCCAGTCTCAATCTCTTTCTTTTAAAAGTGCCATAGATTAAATGGCAAGAAGTTGTTAATTTTTGTAGCTGAGAGTGTTGCACAATGGTTATATATACACCTCTTTTTTAAAGTCCTCATTCAAAGATAGTCACTGAAATAAAATAACATCATGTCTGCAAGATGGAGTGAGCTTGAGAAAAAAGTAAAATTTTGGAGGAATATGTCATAAAATCTCTAAGTACGGAGACCTGCAGACCTGGCCATAAACCAACCAAGGGGACATGAAAGTGCAGTAGAACTCTTTAGCTATCTTATTTCCTTTTGGGGACATTAAGTGGAGCAACAGCAGTGTTCATGAAAGAAAAATGAATTTCAAGAATAAAACATTCTATGTATTACATTAAAGGATACCTCTATATATGTTAATTTCATGCAGAAACAAACATCAGGGTCACTTATATAACAGATGTAGGTATTTAAGTGAGGTACACAGGTGATTGCAAGATGTATTTAAGTCACTCAAAAATCTTCTAGCCTTCCTACCTCTTCCCCTCCACTCTCTGAAAAAATTTTTCTTAGCTATTAATGACCTTTAATTATGTAACAGAATTCCAGATGTTGATTTAAAATGTTTCTCTGATTTTTAAAACAATAGGTTTCACATGGCACGATAGACAAACCCTGTGTAGCCTGACTAATGGGGCACCTGAGTAACACAAGGGAGGAAATTAGAATTAGAAATGTAGAAACGCACTGAATACTGAACCTCAATTATTGTCTGGATGAGTCTTCTCATATTAAGTCCAAATTACCCATTCCCAAGGGAACTCTGGAGACCTTACCCATAAAAAGACTCTTCGGGTTCAGTTTTTATATATATGTATCAAACAAAGCTATCAGAAAAATCCTCCCCAGAAACTGAGAATGATTTCCTTATGGCTTGAGAGATACTGCCAAGATTCCCTTTAAGGTTTACTTAGATGGCACTCAAGTCTCAAGTAAGATTCCCATATGGAATTACTCCCCGCACAGGAGCCTGACCTGGGGGAAGCTGAACAAAGCAGCGATTATTTACAAACTCCCAAAGCCAGGGCTGTTTTACATTTCTCCCACCCTGGATCTAATTACATCAGTAAATGCAACACATATTAAGTAATAAAGCATAATTATGAAAAGGCCAAGAAGTGCTGCAGAGGGTCGCTCCCCCGACACTGTGAGACAGAGGCCAGGGGATGGGGGTGGCTGGACGGGCTGCCTGGGTTGCTGGCACCTGGGGGTTGCCACCACCACTGAGGCAGCTGGGGCAGACTGACCCCAGCAGGCTCACGAGACATCTGACAGGAATTGTGTGTGCTCTGAGTGGGGCAGCCTTTCTGTCAGATAATTGTCAGGCAGTTTTCCCTCAAATGAAAATGTGGTCGTTGCTACAGCCACCTAATCTCAATCCACAAAGTACCCTCAAAACCAGAGCCTTAAATAATACAGGCAATGGTGACGTACCCATTCTTGGTAAATTGAGCTTTGGTTGGTTTTTCTCCAACAAGGAAGAAAAGATTTCCATGAAATACAACAGAGGACTTAAGGACTGTCATGAAAAGTTAATACTTTTGTATTGGCTATCCTAAGAATTGTGGGTGAAAAAATTGTATAGTTTTTACTTACTGATTAGGCTGCTTGTATTTTGTTCATTGAGAGAGTGTCAAAACTTTTCAAATACCATGGGGATCCTGTTAGGATAACTTGTCTTTAGCTTATCGTGCCCTAGACTTTTCCCCGTATCAGGTCATATGAAAGAAACATCAGAATGCTCATTCAGCAGGAAGACAAAGTGCTGTGCAAGGGAGCAGCGGACCTGGCCTCCAGGCCCTGAGGCTGGCCACCATGCGTCAGTGTTATGATGGAGAAATGGCCACCCAGCCTTAAGACCATGCGTGGGGCTACTGGAGTCACCGTCGACGGGACTGAGTGATCTCTCTCTCGTGCAACCGCCATTTAGACAATATCTTCTTTCACTTAATTTTTTATTATTTTGATAAAAAGAAAGCTGAATGAAGTAAAGGAAAGCTTTGGAGTAAACCTGACTGGCTAAAAATTTCATCTTCTCCACGTAAGTTCCTCGATCACCCTGAGTCCCACTTTTCTCATTACTGAAACAGAGCATATTGGATTGTCCCTCTGTGATGGTCTCTGCTCATACTTCAGTGATAATCTGAGCATGGCTCAGTGCCTGGCACATTATGACGCAATAAATGTTTGTCATATTTATCATATCTAAAGACTACACTTTCGAAGCACGTAAAGAAAATCAAAAACCCTCTGCATGTGTTTTCCTGTAACGTCCTACAGTAAGAAAGGTTCTTTGTATCCATCCCATTTAGGGCATGAAATAAGTATTCCATAAAGTTGTGGGTTGCACTGCAAGTACAGTTATTTTGGAGTATAAAGTAGGTGAAAATTTTATTTTCAGAAGTAAAAGCACTAAAACAAATATTTAAAGAATCACGTTGGAAAAAACCTGATAAATGCTGTAATATCAATGACAATGATGTCTTATGCAGCTTTGCCAAAAACTTTATGAAATACAAACAATATTTCAGTGGAATTAAAAATATATTGTGTCAGTTTGTTGAACTGACTAAATTGACAGTTTCTGTAATATATATGAAGGTAAATCAGAAATCTCTGGAGGGCAAAAATGTTGGGTGCTGTGAAAATGCTTAAGAGAAAACCATCTCGCAATCTATTTTTGTTTGACCTTAATTCCCCACTTTAAATTTTAAAAATACTTTGAATTCTAAAATAAAAATGATCAAGATGTGTTCTTAATTTGTTTTTGAATGACAGCAAACTAACCTCAATATTATAGGTTTTCATTTCCCTTGGGCTTTAAAAATATAATCTGTACTTTCATATTTCTTGCTTCATTGTAGCAAAGTAGAGACAGACCAAAGAAGTGTTGCTTAAAAGGTTCTAATGAAAAATTGAGAAAACAATCTCCAGTGTCTACTAAAAATAAGACCCATCATTTCATAGTTACTGTACATATTTGAAAGCTTCCATTACTAGGTCTCTTAAAGTGTGTGTGTGTGTGTGTGTGTGTCTGTGTCTGTGTCTGTGTGTGTTAACCATTCCAACAGAATCTGGAGATAAAACAATCCTTATTTCTTTACAGTTATAATCTGCTGGTTGACACTGTTTTGTCCTACAAATATTTCTCTCAATGAATAATTCAGACTCAAAGTGCGTATCGGTAACTATATTTAAAACCAAAAAAATTCGTCACATAATAAATACATTTTATGCACATGTTAACTTCGAATTTACTTCAGAAAGCTATTTACAATATAAATAATTATAAATGGGAACACTTTGCAAGATATCATTGACATAGCTAATGTTTTCTACTTTACATTCCAAAGTAAAAGTTCAAATTACAGATTTATACTACGATGTCACCAAAAACTTTACATTGCAAGATGGTATTTGAAATATTGGCAATCAGCATCTTCTTTCACAAATATAATCCTCTTTATAGCATGTCAGCCAAAAAACAAACATAAAATATTTTATCTTTTTTGAAGTGCCTACTCATATGTTTCATTTTTTTGAAATTTGTCCCCTTTGGGAAAAAAGAAAAAAAAGTTACAGTACTTCTAAAAACTTTTCACGCCATTTCATTTCTTTTGAAATGTAAACACACCAGGGTTGTTGGGTATAAATTCAATTGTGATTAAATGTGTTCCAGATCAGCAAATTAGGACAAATTTTCCACTATATAGGTTTATGAAAGCAAAGCCCCATGCAGCAAAATTACAATAATTAAAACTATAAATGTTTGGTTTAAAATTATTAATTAGGATTTCTTATGTGAACCATCAGTTTTTAAGGAGCACAGCAGAATACAATCTTGTTTCTTGCTTTACACAATGGCATGTGTGTGTTTGTGTGTAGGCATATGCCTACACACATACAGCCTTTCTGCATACAATGTTAGAGAAGGAACTCTGAACAAACCCCTATTTGGATCTGAGCACAATCTCACTTTCTGAGTTAAGCACTACCCGTACAATTCTTGTGCACAAGAAATGAGCACCACACGGAAACTTCCCCCAAGAACGTTTTCTATGTAAGATATCCTTTCCATATGTTCATAGCTGTCCTGTCATTCATTTAAACTTTCAAATGATAATGAACGTTTTATCCACAACGTCTTTCCCAGTAAGAACTAACTAATAGATTTTGCTGTTTTAGAGTCAAATTTCTATTTGAAAAAAACTGACATTTACATGAAAGTGGAGCCACTTAGAGAACCAGAGGATGAATGTTGAGGTCCTGTGATTTGAATGAACTGGGGAGTCAGATCTGGGCATTCAGACACTTTCAAGAGAGTATATTCAGCTGTAGCTATCCACTGGGCCAGGTAAGTGACCCCAAAGTGGTCACACCCTCAGTTTTCCAAGTATCAGCATTCACTCTGTCACTTCCAAGTTCTTCTAGTAGCAATCGAATTTCACTGAACATCTTAGGTAATGTCCTGCTCTTGAAAGAGAGAGGGAGAAGGGGGACAAAGGGGTGAAATGGGGAACATCTGTCATAGTGTCAACAGTAAAATTAGAGAGAGGAAGAGCTAGAAAATATCACACCTGTATTCAGAATGTCTCTTTAGCTGGAGTGTCTTCTACCAAATTTAGCCAGTCTAGGTCTTGGTCGGGAAAGCCTTTTTCTAATTTTAAAATATCTATGCATATTTTCCAAATGACCTTTTATTGAATCAATCTTCATTCCCCATTTTTTTAAATGGAGCTTATTATCCTTTTCCAGGAGATCTCATTAAAGCTTACTTTAAGTGGATTCTCTGCCCAGAGGTATCATGTGGCAGCAGGGTATAGAAAAAATTAAGAATACTATCCAATGGAAATAGCTTAATTCCATTAAATAAAATCAGGAAAGAACAAGTGGGTTTACTGAAGGCAAATTATTTATTGCATCCTGTCTCATTTTGAATGTCATATCAGCACTGTGCCATATTCTCCTACATCAGGCAATTATAGTTTAAAAAGCTAGTCCATTATATCCAGCGCAGTATGTCAAAGGATGGTGCCAAAGCACACCTGCGTGCCTGACCTGTCGTGGCTGTAACAGTAATATCATGCATCCAAAAATGATTCGTCAAATCTGTATATTATCAATAATAGTTTTAACAAAAATTTTCCAGAGAAAGGCAGGAGAAATATGCATTTATTTCTTTGGTCATCTAAATTTTTAAACTAGGTAGGGCAGGCAGGTAAAATGGGCAGTAAAGATATTCTTACTATTACTAGAAAGCATGAACTTTGTTTCATCTAATGAATTGCTACATATTGTAAGAGTAATTGGATAGAGCACATTCCTATGAATCCCCAAGGTGATATATAAATCATGCTTCTCTCTCTATTTCATTCAAGTATCATGATTCTCAGCATTTAACAAAGTTATGGAGATCAAGGATTAACACTAAAGCCAATTTAAGTTTAATTTTAACTGATTAAGTTATTGGGAACATACATATTTTACATCCCATAATTTAAAAAGACACAGATTAGATCTTCATTACGAAGCAATACGTTCTTGCACAGAACAAAATAATGTAGATTATAACTATATTTTAACATGTCTATGTGTACAGTATATTAAAAAGTTATCTTGCCATAAACTATCTCAACTTATCTTGGGTCATTTTGCAATCATCATGCCATGTTGCAAAAAACGTGAGCTATATAATACTGTGGGTCTGTAAGGTATTATGTGTAATATAAATATGCTACTATAAAATTTTTAACATATAAAGTAAATAAATGGCTTGTATTTAAAACTAGGTCAATCTATCAAAATTTTTAAGATGTAATTTAGTTAATTCTGCCCTCGTTAAAAAATATTGGCCATACCATTTTAAAGAGCATGATTCCTTCTGATTACCCCCTATTTGTAGAGTTTATATTTCTTTCCTTGATTTTCTCCACATAAATATTCCACTAATATTTTTTAATGACAGTCTTTTCGTTCATATCAGTTCATTTTCCTAAGATTTTATTTCCTTCATAGCATCGCTGATCTTTTCAGTAGAATGTATATCTATCAATAAAATCCATCTGTATAGATTTCCTTTCCAAAACATACCATATTCCTCAGGTATTTGTGTCATTGAACCATTTATCCATCTACAGAAGTCTGCAAAACCTTTAGCATTCCTAAAACCTTACTTCATGTTGCAAAATGATCAAAAATTAATTTTAAGTATTCCAAGGGCTTCTCATAAATATTTTTCTCAAAATTAACAAATGTTTTTGCTTATGGAGTTCAAAATTTAGTTTTTATTGTTTGAACTTTTTTGAAAGTATATATAACCACTAACTTTCTCACTTACTCGCACTTTTTCCAATTACAGCACAATGTTGTTCTGTCATACCCAAGACATATTTATTTATGTAGCCACTTTCCTCATGTACAAACAACCCAGTATTCATCTCTCAGATTATCATCATTCAGATTGTCACCTACCTATGGATTGCCAAATAACTGTGTTATATGATGAAAATATATTAGTAATCCCTGAGTGTTCAATGTCATGGTGTCTTCAAAATTATAAGTCATTTTCTTCCAATACATTCCTTCTGAATATGGCAAGTTTCAGGCATGGGACTCCTAGATAATATTAGCTATGAAACTTCTTTAATCACTTATGTCACTTTGATTACTAGAGAAGAGTGTATTAAATGAATCTTACTTATTTTTCTTCTCCCTCATCAGTCTCTACCATTTTCACAATTAGGTGAACTAGAAAGTTGTCTGTCACTACACATCCCTAAAAGAGCCCATGCAGCTGCTTAGTTACAAAGCATCTAGACCCTATGTGAGTACAGAAAAGCCAGAATGATCAGCCTTGACAACTCACAGCAGAGAGTTAACTAACAAGTTCAGCTCTGCGGCACCACTGAACCACAGAACAGTAAAACATTAGAACTGCCATACAGATAAAGAAACTGGGGCCCAGGCATGGTGAGTGATACATCTGTGTTCCCAAAATAGGTTATAGGCAGGGTCAAAACCAGAACCCAGAGATCTTGGCATCTAGTCTGCTTATCTTTCTACTGTTTCACATGAACTTAAGACCAAGTTTATTGTTTCTTGTTTGCAGACAATAAGGAAAATGAGTACTTGGCCTGTTCCTTCAGTCAAAGTACTATTCTTGCCTTTTAACCTCCTTGTCTATCAGCCTAAGCTTTTATCTTAGACTCTCTCCTGAGGCTTTCCACATGTTGTCACATTTGCACATCTGTGCTTTGAAATGTTTTCAAACACTTAACTGCTATCATGTAGCACTTCACAGGTTTTTGTTAGTTTTTGAACTTATTAGCTTTTTTTCCTCAGTGAATTGGTTTGAATTTTTTATTTGGTTGGTTTTATGAGCCCCAAATATGTTAATTCCATATTCTGAACCTTAAATTACTTGTTTTGAGATATTACTTCATTTTGCTCTGCCTCCGGCCTTTCTATCTTCACTATTTCCAAGTGGACACTGTAGGTTTTTGATGTGTGTCCCAACATCTCAGTACTTTCACTTAGAAAAGCCCTCACTTACATGTCAGTGTGAACCTGTTCCTTGTCTAACTCAAACATAAGGTAAAAAATCACCATTTCCTGATTGCTTTTAATGGATACCACGTGAAAACCCATTCTTATACCATACCCATAACCTTCCCTAATTTATACCTGAACCAAATGAGCTAGCTGGTTAGAGATGCAAGAAAGTAGTATACAAGATATATCTTTCTCTTTCTTAGTTAGCTTGGGAATGAAAAATTTCTTTAATAATCTTAATGTTCTTTAACGTTCTAATGTTAAGGAAAGTTACCCATTTAGGGCGTATTTATGGTACATAGTCTAGATTTCTGCACATAAAGTGTACATTACAGTTTGTAGATAGCGGTCTGTCTGTGTGTATGAGGTTCACTGGATCTTCACAGCACGATGTTGTCATCCATCAGTCCTTTCATGTGGTACACATGCTCACTTTATCTACATAATTATTTTTCAATTCAAAATTTATCTATTCTGTTCCCATATAATTAGAGGGAAAATTTTTATATTCACTTTAGCTCCATTATCTGTGTATAACCTTGAATGCTAGTGCTATTTTCTTTGATTTCAAAGGAACACATGTCAAACACCCAGTAACTTAAATTACCCTCTCTAATAATCGGTAGCATAGTAAATGCTGGTCATTGGGGCATTAACTATAAATATGTTTCAGAGATCTTTAAAGAAGAAAATATTTTAGAAAAACATCAGCTTCCATTGGTTATTATAACAGACGTTCCCTTGTGTCCTTGTGCTGGGTCTGGCTGCATCCTTAGATGGGAAGTTACCTCAAAGTGTGAGCCATTACAGCCCAAGGAATAGTTTCTAATGGTTTCGCTGTCATATAAGTGCTCCAAGGCATATCCAGTTAATGTGTAAGCATGCTTATCAAAATACTGCCGGTGAGATCCAAAGCAGTTTGGAGAGACGGCAGGATGGTCTCCTGCCGTCTGATGAGGAGACATATCCGAATGGAGATAGTCTTTAGCTAGGATCAAACTGGATTTTGAAATGCGATCTGAATTGGGACTACTTATCCGAGACAGTGCAGTGGGGCTGTTGTCATAGTCATTTTCATGGGGGCTCAGCATCTTCCCCTCTCTCTGCTGGATGTGGTCACATGGTGAAGTGTTGGCAAGGGTGGAACCATGGCAGACTTCGCCTGTCGGTGGGGCCTGTTGGTAGTTTGCAAAACAGAGGGAGTGTTTTTTCCCAGCTCCGTTAATGGAAGCCAGTTGGTCTGGAGGGGCTTTCCTTAGCTGCAGTCTGTTCTCTTCTTCTTTAATCATTTGCTGGGTAGCTCTTATCAGAGTTTCAATTTTGCTAGGTTCATGTGGGCTACTTTGATATGGCTCCGTGCGATATCGTTCACCTGATTCGCTGGCCGACCCAGGGTCTGGAGAACTGACCACGCTATCTTCATCCCAATGACCTCGCCCTGGAAATAAGAAAAAGCAAAAAGTAAGTACTTTTGAAACTCACCCCTCAACATGTAAGTGTATTTCTTTTTAAAAGAAAACTTATATCTTTCATTTTTAATATATATACCAATATTTGAAACGAACAGGCTCTCTCCATGACAGATAGAGCATCAAAATATTGTTCTGAACTTCACAGTTCTGTGGCTTTTAAGTCAGATGAAAACTCTAACAAGTTTTTTAGAAGGTAAACCTTGTTCATATGTTATGAATACCAATTAGAAAAACAGTAAAGAGTGCTTATATTTCATGTATGCACATCACTAAAGCTGTCAGGCTGTAAATAATGAAAGAAAATGCACAGCATTTGGCTTATGTTATCTTCTAGAAATGTATCATGTTAAATGAATGTTTAGAAAATGCTTTCATTTGGGTTTGAGGAAGATGATGATATAGGCTGGACTATTTTACCAATTCTAACTAAATCAACTAAATCAACTAAAATGTCAACATTGCTAAATGTATCTTAAGTAGAGTAACAGTAAAGATCTAATTTTTACTGTTAATTCTGAGGGTTAAAAATACATATGCTTTCATATATATGTATATATGTAGATGTGTATATGGATATGTATATATCTTGTCCCAATCAAAAATATAAATATTGTTTTCTCAATCTAGTGGTAAAAATCTCAGTTTTACATATAATCATATAGTAACTCATATCTTAGATTATTTCTGAAATAAGGTAAAGAATAAATAAAAATTTAAAGTGTTAATAATAATTCATTCTGTACTAAGGAGAAAGATCTAATATGCAGGAACAGTGTATCCAGAATACACTCCATGAATTAAATAATTCTCAAAGCAGTCTGAAGTCATGTGAAAAAAAGAGTAGAGAAACAGGGACACATGAAAGTTGTAAACTGCTTAACACAGCAGACAAGCTCTGGATCACACTATTCTTTGCTTTTCTTTTCCCTTTTCTTCTTATTTTATTTCTAATATTTTCTTCCAGAAACAATGTAGGTTAAGCCAAGATTTTTACTTCACTCCATTCCTTAGCAAGTCTTTGCTCTTTGCCCTGGGTTTCCATTACTAGTCTAAGTAGAGATACTCAAAGTAAAAGGAGAAAAAGGAAAAGAAAAAAAAATTAAAATCACAGGCAGTGAGTGCCTAGGTGGTGTCTGACAGACTTTATGGGTGAGTACAACATTGTCTCGCTTTCTTGGACTCCTGGAGTACAACACTGCTCACTCTAATGACACCAAGAAGGGTAATATCAGGGCCATTCAGATCAATCTGAATGGCACTGACTTTTAATGAAATAGGGAGAGTTTCAAAGACCTGACTGAATCCAACTTTGAAACAGACAGAATGGTCTCCTTGACCGGTTTACTTTAGAATGAATAAAGACAAGTATTAGTATCACTAAAGGCTTTCACTGCAGTGCCCATTTCTATGTGTTCACGAAGCCATGAAATAACCTCAAGGTGAAAATATCAGGAGGTTCTACGTATCTCTCCATTCTTTACTCAAAGGGGACATTGTGAGTTGTCCTAACGAGGAGGGAAGATGGCAGTTACTGGCATTTAATGCCCAGAGGTCCAGGGAGGGGTTAAATTTCCTGTGATGTGAGTGATAGGCCATAAAACAAAGAAAGCAACCCCCCCACCTGTGCCACCCCCCCCCACACACACACACAGGCCAACCCTCAGAGAGAAACTCAACTGGATGAGCCCCAAACCATTTAACTCCACACTTGAGGCATTAGAATGCAGGAGAAAATACGCAAAAAATGTAAATACATGCATACTACAAGTTCAATAGACTTATTCAACAATTCACTTTCACTTAATTTCTATACTTATTTGATGTTTAAAATGGGAATCTTTTTACTTGCGTATCCAAAATAAATTTGGCAAACTATTAGCAAAATAAATATTCTTAAAGAAAGTGAAATTAGCTTTTTAAATCCCACTGGTATGAGTTTCAAAGGAGAAAACCGCGGGGTCAGTCCCTGCAGGGTGCAACCTAGAATACTATGAACCTGCCCAGGGATCCACTGCGGCTGAGCTCACAAGCCCTTTCAACTGCCCTTACCGTGGATCCTGTGGACTGAGGCGATGTGAGGCATGCTGTTTTCATAGGCTTCTCGGCTTTCTGGGGAGGCCTTGGTCAGGGGCAGGGCCGCACGAGAGCCCCACCAGGGCTCCCTCCCCGCCTGCTGCGTCCCCAGGAAGTACCTGCCGGCCTCGCAGCGGCCTCCCTCACAGGCCTGGGTGTGGAAATGCCTCTCCTCCACCAGCCTGGAGGGGTCGAGCGCAAAGCCGTAGCAGAGAGCGCTGCGGTCAGAGAACTGTCTGTAGGCGCAGGACGCGTCGTGCTGAGAGCCTGGCCTGTCCGCGGGGTCCAGCAGCTGCGGAGAGGCTGTGTCTGTCAGGGGACTTCCGCCCCACTGGCTGTCGTGATCAGATTCCGATCTTTCCGTGTGAAATCCCGAATACTGAAACCAAGAGAGTGAAAAATGTACATTTAAAAAAGAAATCCTTTTTACTCTGAAAGCACCCCTGAATCCATAGTGAGCTTAAGTCACCAAAAAAACACATTCTAGTACCGGCTGGGCACCCCTAACTTGGAATGAGCAAGCAGCCAGGCAAAACAAAATCCTTTTGACAGCTGAAAGAAGATAAAAATAATAATAACAAACATGGGTGGAACTAAATGCCAGACACTCTTGAAAGTGCTTAATGTGAATTACCACCCCTCCTCCCTGCCAGCCAGTAGTTCTTATATTAACCCTTTCATGGAAATATTAGTAACCCATTGTATGGGTAGGGAAACTAAGGCCCAAAGAAGGAAACCGATTTGCCCAAAGCCACAGAGTTGGCAGATGTCAGTGCCAAAGTTCAAACCCAAATTCTCTATCACTACCCAAATGATACTGCCAAAAGGAGAGTCCAAAAAAGCATATTTTACTTCTATTTGTTCTTCAAATTTTTTTCTGAATTAAAAAACAAAACAAAAATTGGATTAAGAAAGGCATCAACTTGCTGCACCCTAACTTTTTTTAAGATGATTTTTTAATCCTCACCCAAGGACATGGTTATTGACAACTCTTTACATGGGAACGTCAATTCTCCAAGGGCTGTGCTGGCTATATGGTAGGATAGTTAATAAAAGCTTACTTAACTCAATTGCAATATAACTTTTAAAAAGTTTTGCCCATATAAGCTGGCCCTATTTACTGGAGTGTGCTTCTTGCTCTCTAAGGTGAACTTCAAATATGCACAGGATCACCAGGAAACTCAGCTGCAGGCCATGCTGTGCCTGTTGGAATCATGCTACTCATTTGTTGTCAGAGTATTTGATCTGGTGTTGAAGGAAACGAAAAAGACTCGGTAGGCCTCCCTAGGAGGTATACTCAGTTTGAAGGCCCTCATGAGCCATTAAAATTAGTAATACAATTTCTACCAGTTTTTGGTTACCTAATGCCAAACACAGGTCTACATATTATATAGAGATTTCCTTTTATGATAATAATAGCCATTTGTTGAGAACTTACTATGTGCTTGTCAATATGCTAATCATTGTGTATAATCATTGTGTATAACACATATATACACATACATATATATGTAAGTCCTCATAACCACCTCATCAGTAATACATCTTCATTCTATAGATGAGGAAACTGTATCACTGAGAGTTTTAATAAGATGGTACAGCCACCCCACAGTCTATCTGGTTCCAAAGCCTGCACTCCAAACCATGGTTTTACATTTGAGAGAAAACATTGTTAATGAAGAAATGAGAAAGAAAAGGATCCAAGGTCAGAGAGATTTCCAGAAAAGTGGCAGGAACTTCTTTATAGTCTCAGGAGCCAAAATATAAGTCCATTTTACATATTCATTCCTAGCCCAGATAAAAAGAGGAATGAGTGTCTCTCTGTCATGGTGTGGGTGGTGGGGGGCAGGGAGGATAAATTCCAAGGCTCCACAGTTCTTTATTTGGCATGTGCTAGTTGAGCAGATTTTACTCACGGTGAAACCTTCACAGGACAAGGTAAACTCTTTCCTACACACTAGACCCACTCTGAGTAGAAGGAAGAATCCTGACTCCCCCACAAAGTGCAAACAGACAGCTCAGTTTCGGGGCTCTTGGAGCCAGAGCAATGAGATACAGAATTTCCTCTGGGGAGACTCCAAAATATGCTAATAAAGACAGCATGCTCAGGGCAGAGTTCTGTGTAAATTCTGGGTTCAAGGTTTTTCCGTTACCATTTCTAATTATTACTTTAATTATTTTCCAAACGTACATATGGACTATCAGCATATTCCATCAAGAAAGAAATAATAGTAAATCCAGCCTCTTTCCCTGTAGGACTGGAAGTTGGGCACATCAGTGCACCCTGGACTCCATTTTCCTACATCACACCTCCACACGGCATCCTCCTCTTCTTGCCACGGCCACCAGCCTGTCTGTCCACAAGAGGCCGCCTTCACTTTCACCAAGGCAATTGTTGCACCCCCTCTCCTTACCGCACGAGACTCAGAGTGCCATACATTTGCCCTTCAGTAACGCCATCCATGTACTTGCCTAGCAGTAATTCAGATGATCCATGCTAGTCCAAGCTAGCAACTGCCAAGACTCTGCTTGTTTTGATAAAAGTATAAACCAGGCCTATTTCTCAAGTACTCCAGTCAAGACTTTTGAGCCCTGTGGAGAGGGGGAAAAGCTTCCCGTGAGTCTATATGGGAAAGTGCTATTGGCGTGGCAGAGAAGAACATCCTGTCCTTCGCTCACAAAGAAAATTCAACACAAGGTAACCCTGGAATACATGAGGTACACATTTCAAGAGCACCCAAAGAAGAATTTGAGGGATAAGCTTCTTGTCAATAGTCAGGAAACTACAACAGCAAGTACACTGCCCTTCAAGCAGGCAGAAATCAGGCGATTAAATTAGACCAGGACCTCACATTGCTCTGGAGGAACAGAGGAAAAGCCTAGCTGTAAACCTTTGTTTTTCAAGCCCTATAAACTTGTGCCAGCACGCGTCATCCAAAGCCTGACCCACAGGCATCACTTTAAAAGGAACTACACTAGCAGTGAACTCTGGTTAGAACACCTCAAGCCCATAATTGGATCTGAACTATTTCAGGTGTTCATTAACTATTCGGGGACAGAGAGAGAACAGAGAGGGAAGATCGAAGCCAGCCATAGCATGCAGCGTCTGCCGCACAGCGAATGAATGCTGCCTCACAAGGCTCCTGGTCTTTCTTACTGCATGCACCATCTTGGATAAGTGATTTAATTTTTTTGTCTCACCAGGAAAAGGGTCATGATTATACTTTACCTACCAAAGGCTGATCCAAAAAAGGGGCCATTTTATGGAAGAGGCATTAGGGACAGGAAGCCAAAAGAACTTGGTTCCAGGACAATCCTGCTTATAACGCTCAGGGTGGCCATGGGTAATTAACTTTCTCTTTCTTAGCCTCATCTGTAGGATAACATATTGGTTAGATTAGACTTTCTCTAACTTTTCTTTCAGCTCTAAAATCCTATTTTATACCTTCAGTATTTGGTATCCTTTCTGGTGTTGAGACATATTATTCCTATGCCAGTCCCTGTATTTCACTTATTTATACAAGATAAATTATTTAGGACTACAATCCTTGTCCAAGAATTCTTAATTGTTATGATTATAAGAAGAAAGTTATATAAGTTACATTTTTTCTGTAATATTGATTTTACCCCAATATCCCATTATAGCACAAGTTTTAAAGGGATTACATGGCGTCTTTTGGTCAATACATTACAGCATTCTAGATGCTTCTGAGTATGTAGAGTAATGGCAGCCATCTGAATCTCTATCTCTCTACATATCCTTCCCCCAGAACCTATAAGGTCATCAAGGAGCACAAGTTAAATCACAGTTGACCCATGCTATCAGCATTACTAGAAAGCAGAAAATATGCCAAACTTCAAGTTATTTTTAAAGTTAAAACAAAGTATAACAGCAGCTGCTATGAGCCTGTCAGGCCAGAAAGAAGGATAAGGGGAAGTTTAAGAGACTCTGAGAGAGAGAGACAGAGAGAGAGAGACAGAGAGAGAGAGAGAGAGAAACAAGCTTAGGACATTTGCAAAACAGACAAAATCATCACAAGTGCCGAAACACGAGCACACAGTCACCCACAGCCCTGGCCACAGCAAAGGGGCTCAAAATCAAACAAAATCCAAAGCAGCAATTTCAGACAAGTGTCATTTCCATAAGAGAAGAAAGTAAATTGAGAATGGATTATGTCCCTCACAGCGAGCAGTGAAAGGAAAGAAGGAAGAGGGGGAATTAAGGATCCCGCAACCAGGAGAGAAAAACAAGACCGGCAAATCCTATCTTTCCTCCTTCCCCCTCTACCACCATCATCATCCATTTACAAACTATATTTCACAGACTGTCAGGAAAGAGTGCTCTTGAAATGGTAACTCAGTCCATAAAATGCCAAGGAACAGGGGAAAAAATTAAACTCCTATTAAACCTCCTGTAGGAAAAAATGCATGAAAATGGAAGTACAAATATCCCAGCTGCATAAAAATTCTCATCAAGTAACCAACCACAAAACAAAGGAAAATTAGATGAAAACAAACACTCCAAACGGTACTAAGTGCCCTCAACAAGTACTTGGAGACATACACACGTGGAATGCACACATGGGCGCAACTCCTGGAGTGACAAAGTTAAAACCAAGAAATGGACAAAGAAAGAACATCCAATGATAACCACAAAACAGGGAGGAAAATGCAACAAAAACTGACCAATGTCAAAGAAATTGAATAAATGTTTAAAGTACAAATAGTGAAATTATAAATTACAAATTGTGGAAAGGGAAATAGACTAAAATGAAAGTTTAAAAAGTGAAATTGAATAAAGGCTGGAAAACATGTAAGGAAACAAAAACTGCATAGAGAAAATAAAAGGATCAGAGTTAAAAGAAGGTAAAAGTTTTCAATATATGTGAAACATTTATATAGAAGGCAAAGGAACTAGAATTGTTAAAACAATTGGAAAAAGAATAATGAAGTGAGAGAATCTGTCCACCCAACTCAAGACTTAAGTTATGGCTACAGTAACCATAACTATGTGGATTGGTGGAGAAATAAGTGCACAGATCAATAGAACAAAATAGAGAACCCAGAAGTAGACCAACTGAATTTTGACACAGGTGCAAAAGCAATTCAATGAAGGAAAAATAGACTTAATAAATGATGCTGGAGTAACTGGACATCCATGGGCAAAAATAAAATGAACCTCAATCTAAGTCTCATACCTTACATACAAATTAAATGTAAAAGGTAAAAATGTAAAGCTTTTAGAAAATAACATGAAAGAAAATCTTTAAGACCTGGGGCTAGAAAAGAGTTCTTAGACTTGATACCAAAAGTACAATGCATAAAAGAATACTGACAAATTAGATGATCTAAATTAAACACTTTTGCTCTGCAAATCAC